TTTCGTGCGCGAGCTGCGCGATCTGGCGCTTCGCGCGAAGGGTCGCCCTCGACGCCCGTGGTACGATGGCGGATCTGACGCCGGACGAGCGGAGATATTCGCGAGCGCGTCGCGCTGTTACGCGTGCGAGAGACCGTTCGAGGCCGACGACGCTCGCGTGCGCGATCACTGTCACTTGACCGGCCGCTTCAGAGGTCCGGTGCATTACGCGTGTAATTTGAATTACAAGGACCCCTACGCATACCCGTATTCTTTCACATCTATCGGTTTACGATGCGCACTTCATTATCAAGGATGTGGCTAACGCGTATCCCGGCAGCGTCGAGTTGTTGCTGGTGACGAAGGAATCGTACATAGCTTTCTCGAAGACCGTTCGGGTACCGCGGCGGAGGGGGACGGGGAAACGCCGCGCGTTCCAGATACGTCAAATTATGATTCGTGGACTCGTTCAAGTTTTTAGGCGCCGGTCTCGATAAGCTGGCGTCGTATCTCGACGAGAGCAAACTGACGATCGCGCGAGGCAAGTTTCGCGATCTCTCCGACGACGACTTCCGACTTCTCACACGCAAGGGCGTATTTCCGTACGAGTACGTCGACAGCGTCGAGAGATTGCGGGAGACGCGTCTCTCGCCGCGCGAGTCCTTCTACAGTTCTCTGACCGGCGATACCGTATCGGAGAGCGATTACGCGCACGCGACGCGCGTCTGGAAGCGATTTAGCGTCGAAACCCTGGGCGAGTACAGCGATTTCTATCTGAAGATCGACGTTCTTCTGCTTGCGGACGTGTTCGAAAATTTTCGCGCCGCTTGTTTGGAGAGTTACGGTTTAGATCCCGCGTATTACTTCATGCTGCCGGGATACACGTGGGACGCGATGCTTAAGTACACGGGGGTCCGTTTCGAGCTGCTCACCGATATCGATATGATGATGTTGGAACGCGGAATACGCGGCGGTCTAAGTCAGTGCTCTAACAGATACGCTCGCGCTAACAACAAGTACATGAGCGCGTACGATCCGTCGCGACCGTCGATCTATTTGATGTATCTCGATATCAACAATCTGTACGGTTGGGCGATGTGTCAGCTGTTGCCGTACGAGCGATTCAAGTGGATCGACGATCTCGAGAGTCTCGACGTGATGTCCGTGACGGAGGACTCGACCGTCGGCTACATTCTCGAGGTCGATCTTGACTATCCGGCCGACGCGCACGACGCTCACGCCGATCTACCGTTTTGTCCCACGCGCGATAAGCCGCCGGGGAAGCGGCAGAGCAAACTCCTAGCCACGCTGTACGATAAGCGCCGATACGTTACGCACTATCGCAATCTGCAGCAGTGCGTTCGTCACGGTCTGCGTCTGACGAGGATTCATCGCGCGCTGCGCTTCTCGCAGTCGCCGTGGTTACGCGGATACGTGGAACTTAACACGCGCTTACGCACTAACGCGAGTAACGATTTCGAGAAGAATTTGTACAAATTGATGAATAACGCCGTCTTCGGCAAGACCATGGAGAACGTGCGCAATCGCGTGGACGTTCGACTCGCGACTCGATGGGACAGTCGATTCGGAGCGCTCATCTCCAAACCGAATTTTCACAGTAGAAGCGTATTCTCGGAGAATCTCATGGCCGTGGAATTGCGCAAATTGGAGGCGAGGATCAACAAACCGATCTACGTAGGCATGTCCATTCTCGATATATCCAAAATTCGTTTGTACGCGTTTCACTACGAATACATGTCGCCGCTCTACGGCGATAAGAGTAAAATATTGTACACCGACACGGACAGTCTCATTTATAGCGTAGAGTGCGAGGACGCGTACGAGCGAATGAAGCGCGACATCGATAGATTCGACACGAGTGATTACGCCGTCGACAATCCCTACGGCGTGCCGCGCGCGAATAAGAAGGTTCTCGGTCTGATGAATGACGAGAACAACGGCGCTCTCATGTTCGAGTTCGTCGGACTCAGAGCGAAGATGTACGCGTTGCGAGTCGAGAGTAGGGGCGACACTAAGAAGAGCAAGGTTGTGAGGAGCAGCGTCGTCGCGAGAACGCTGACGTTCGACGATTACGAGCGCTGTCTGACAAGGAAAGGGTCGGAAGTGTCCCCCTCCGATTTTAATGAGCTTTGAATATGTTGTAGTCTAGATCAAAATAGGAGACACGTATTTTTTTATAAGTGCTGAGTCGGCCGTTAAGGGGGTGAAACACCTTCTTGAAAAAAATCGATTTTTTCATTTCTCAGCGGATACCGTCGAAGCGATAAGAGATATAAACAAAAGTTTCAAAATAAAAGTTTTATGGTCTTTAATGTACTTCAAAATCATGTAATCAGATTTGTCGAAAATGTCATATTTTTCGAAATCCCCCCCCTCCCTTTTAATGTTTGAAAATTTTTAAATTTGTCTCATAACAAACTTATAGCTCATTTAACGACAAATTCAATCATATATAATAAAGTTGTATTCCGAAGTCATTATATATATGTATATGGAAATATTACATAAAATACCGTACATAATTATTGCATACAAGAATAACAAATATTCATGGTTGATATCGGTTACAAAGATGATGATCATGAAAGAAATGATTTATACAAAGGGATTTTTTACACCCATGCGCAAGAAATTACAGCAATTTCACCGCAAATATCACATGTTGGTTTTAAATTAGTTTTGAAACAAAAATCTACTGGTGTATCAAATTCTTCTGGTTTCTTTTCTAAATAACCACTTTTATACCATGCATATTTGAATAAATTTTTAAACCTTGGTGATGAAAATTGATTATGTGTTAATGATTGTAATTTTAAAATATTGTTTCTTGAATGAAGCTTGACGTCAAGATCTAAAGCATGATGGTATCTAAAAAATGTCTAACAAAATTTTTCCATAAACGAAAACCGAATACATCTAAAGGTTGTATTTTTCCCGTTGCTCCAGCTGGTATAGTTAACAATTAATATTGTCTATAAAATCTGGTTTGTTTCTTTGAATTATATCAGGACAATGACCAGTCCAAGAATCTAATAATAACACTGATTTTGGTCCAACATTTGGAAAAAACACTTCTTTTATCCAGATCTCAAAATGATGCGATGTTAATTTTCCAGATTTTGATGCCATGACAAAGATATTATTATCTTTAAACATTGTTTCTTTTACTATTGGACCAAATGTTCCAGTAGGTTCTTTTAAAACAATAAACAGAGGCGATAATAATCTACCATCAGCTGAAACAATAGGTTGTATAGTATAACTATGTGTAGTTGCTGATATGGATTGTACTATGCGCTCTACTTTTTTAATACCAATAGGTGATAGTGAACGACCGGAATGAAATTCTAATTGAAATCCACTTTGGTCCGAATTATATACATTTTCAATTCCATATTGTATAATAGAAGATTTAACATTTTCGATAAATGACTTGCTTCGTGCTTCTAAATCTTTGTCTGACGCTAAATTTTTTTTTGTTATAAATTTTGTAATTTTTCTAGATACGATATTATGTGCAAGCTTAAACCTTTTTACCCATGATAATGATGCTGTAAACCCAAGTAGATTTACTTCCTTCTGTGCGCGAAGAGCCCATCGAGCAATATCAATGTCATGAATAATTATTCCCTTTTCAATACCTTCATGGAATTTATTTAACGTATATGTTGAAATTTCTTTCAGTTTATCAAATCTGTTGCCACCTTGATTTACTTGCTGCTCCCATCTTCTTAATTGACGTAATGACGTGACTTTCCGAAATCTATTTCTTATAGATGCAAGAGTTCTTGACTTTTTTGTTCCACTTCTCCATAACTCTACTGCATTTCTTTTATATTCTATTGGTACAGAATCCGCAACACATTCAATTTCTTTTACAAAATATGTGTCTTCTTCTCTTTCTTCATCAATTACAGGTTCTACTTCAGGTATATCAAATTCGTTTTGAAAATCTAATGATGATTCTTCATAAACTTCAAACGCTTCTTCATACATTGATCGAAGCATATTTTCCATCATGTCTTTTGTTTCATTTTCATCTGTTGTAACAGGACTTTCTGGGAATTCCCCAGTCATATACAGTGCAGTGTATAGCAGTACTGCTACATTTCTTGGATTAAACATTATCTAAAAAAATTATTAACATTATGTATATTTGTTTTATAAATATTAGCAAAAAAATACTTATTAGCAACAAAAATATTTTATTATTTAATGCGTATTAATAATTTGTTACGTTTTCCGAGTTTCATGAAAAATAGAACAGTTTTATCACATAACTTAAATAAAGTAATAAAATATTAATTATAATTTAAATACATTAAAACAAACAGATAAACCGCAATTTTGAATGAAGTGTAAGTAAAAGCAAAAAACTATAAAAGTTTTAAAAATCGAAAAAGTACATACATACTGTATTGTTGTGTGCGTGGGGCACAATTGTTTTTTCAGGATAACGGCTAGTCTTGTTAATTAACTCGAGCACTTGTTAATTATTTGATAACTGATTTGTGACTGTCCGCCGCTTCTAGGCGGTGGCTTTTAACGCCTCCGGTTCTGAACGATTATCGGAGGAGGATCGCGCGGTGGCATGACCAAATAAAATCATTGGTTATTTCTAAAGTGGCGTGATCAAAATGCAAGCGAAGGAAGTCCGAAGACTTCCTCGCATTTTATTGCAATTCAGCGCTATTTCGAGAGTGATTTCTTCCTCTGTTTGATGACTTGGCCGTGTGATACTGGCTGTATCAGCACTTCGGGCAGCTGACTTTCTTATCGCGACGCATTTTTTCGCTCGCTTTATAAGTTATAATCCTTTTAATTATTTTCTTATATATATAAATATATTTACTATCGCGCTCGCGTATATTCGATAGACGCTTTAATAGTAATATGTGTTCCACTGCACGCAGTTGTTAATAAAATAATATATTGCACCAACTCATTTCGCGAATGCGACATCTGTTTATTCATAGAATTGAATCTATTAACATCGGCATCTGATCAATAATTTTCCTTGTCCGACTAGTTTTATTTTTCATGCATTAAAAACATTACTTTTCCATATAAATTATATGTATATTTATTGTCACATAATATAGACATATATTATAATTATAATTATTATATAATTTATAATTATATTTATAAATATAATTTCTATAATTTATAAAAATATATTCTCATAAATTATTTATTGCTAATTTATGGTTGCCTCTGTGAGTTTGCGAAGAAAAATGACTGTCGCTGTGAATAACGAGCGTCATAAGGCGGATAAAGCGGGCGTATAGTAGTGTATAGGGATATTTTTAATTTATTTCTGAAAAATGTGACTTCGGAATACAACTTTATTATATATGATTGAATTTGTCGTTAAATGAGCTATAAGTTTTGTTATGAGACAAATTTAAAAATTTTCAAACATTAAAAGGGAGGGGGGGGGATTTCGAAAAATATGACATTTTCGACAAATCTGATTACATGATTTTGAAGTACATTAAAGACCATAAAACTTTTATTTGAAACTTTTGTTTATATCTCTTATCGCTTCGACGGTATCCGCTGAGAAATGAAAAAATCGATTTTTTTCAAGAAGGTGTTTCACCCCCTTAACGGCCGACTCAGCACTTATAAAAAAATACGTGTCTCCTATTTTGATCTAGACTACAACATATTCAAAGCTCATTAAAATCGGAGGGGGACACTTCCGACCCTTTCCTTGTAAGTCGAGAGTTACCTGCTCCCATGGTCGGCTGACGTAGGTCGCGTGCAGTGTTCCTGCCGGTCGCTGCTGCGCGACCTTGTGCGCTTGGCAATTTTTGCATGTTCGCACATAGTTCGCGATGTCGCGAAACATCCCCGGCCAATAATAAAACTCGGCAATTCGGGCGATCGTTTTGGCGATGCCCATGTGCCCGGCGGTGGGGACGTCGTGATATCGGCGTAGGATGTCGTTTCTGGCCTCCTTGGATACGCAGAGCTTCCATTGTTCTTCTGCGGCGGTGTCCTTGAAGTTGAGGCTGTGGTAGAGGAGGCGATACAATCTACCGTCCTCTATACGGTAATCGGTGTGCGCGGTGGGGTCTTGCTGCACCCCTTCGAACTTTCGGCGGTACCAGGCGCATTCCCGGTCTTTCGCGGCGCAAGTTACCGGGTGACGCGATAGCGCGTCGGCGACACGATTAAGTACCCCGCGGCGGTACTTTACGTCGAAGTCATACTGCTGGAGCTCGAATACCCAGCGTCCGAGGCGTCCGGTCGGAGACTCTATTTTTTGTAGCCACCGTAGGGCCTGGTGATCTGTCACGACGGTGAAGGAGTACCCTTCCAGGTAGCTCTTCATTCGCCGGATACCCCATACGATAGCTAGGCATTCGAGCTCCGTGGCGCTATAGTTGCGCTCGGCCGCGTTTAAGGTGCGGCTTGCATAGGCGATCACGCGTTCGCCTTCCTCGAAATTTTGCGTCAACACTGCCCCGAGCCCGGTCGTGCTAGCGTCCGTCTGGAGGAAAAATCGGCGCGTGAAATCGGGGCAAGCTAAAACCGGCGCTGAACTCAAAGCGTGCTTAAGTTGAGCGAACGCGACGGCCTCCCCCTCGCCCCACTTCCATCGGGCGTTTTTCTTCGTTAACTGCGTAAGTGGGGCCGCGATCGCGGAGAAGGCTGGGATAAAACGACGGTACCACGATGCCATCCCCACGAATTGTCGTATTTGTTTGACTGACCGTGGTTCTGGCCAGTTGGCCACAGCTTGAATTTTCCCGGGGTCGGTCCGAATTCCCTCCCGGTCAATTACGTGCCCCAGGTACGTCAAACGGTCAACGCAGATTCGGCATTTCTCCGGGTTCAGACGGAGGCGCGCGTCACGAAGACGGCGGAAAGTCTCCTGCAGCAGCTCGAGATGGTGGTCGAACGTCCGGCTAATAACGATTATGTCGTCGAGATAAACGAACACGTGCGGCTCTAACTCTGGCCCAAGGACCGTGTCCAGTAACCGCTGGAACGTGGCCGGGGCGGAATGCAACCCGAATGGCATGACTCGGAACTGGTAAAGCCCCTTCCCTGGTATCGTAAACGCGGTGACCGGTCGGCTGCTTGGACTCAGAGGTACCTGCCAGTACCCGTTCTTCAGGTCTAAGGTCGACAGATACCGGGCCCCTCGCAATTTGTCGAGAGTTGCAGTGATCTGTGGCAGCGGATATGCGTCTTTATGAGTCATCTCGTTGACTCGGCGAAAGTCGATGCAAAAGCGTTGACGACCATCCTTCTTTTTGACAATGACGATGGGCGAGCTCCAAGGACTATGCGAGGGCTCGATGACCCCCTGGGCGAGCATCTCCTCCACCTCGGTGTCGATAATCGCCTGCATTGCCGGGTTGCGCGGCCGGTATCTTTGTTTAATTGGCGTGTTATTAATAAGCCGAATGGTATGCTGGGCCCGATCGGTGGGCCCCTTCACGGCATCGAACTTCGTGAGTTCGTCTCGTAAAAATGCTTGGAGCCGCTCATTTTCTTCAGTGGTCCTGCCGGCTAGGCCCTCGACCGTGCAGCACCGCTGGTGCCACTGGAGCACCCGCAGCGGCGGAGCCGGCGTGCTTATGCGTAATTTTGCCTGCAGATCTACTCCCATCAGTATCTCGCTCGAGAGGCCCGTCAATATCCCGAAGGTGTGGGTCGTAGTTCGGCCGGCCGCTTCCACCGGCAGGTTCATTTTCCCCGCGAGTTCCGTGTCTCGATCGTCCGCTAATTGTATTTGGCTTTTCCCCAGAATCCACGCGAAACCCGCACGTCTCAACGTTTCGGCGGTTCTCTCGTTGATTAGCGAGATCTCGGACCCTCCATCTATCAGTGCGTCGAACATGAATTCCCCGATGCGGATCGGGGTGTGTGGTCGCGGCTTGAAGGTTACTCGGGGCTGGGAGTCACGGCGGCGACCTTCTCCCCAGCCCCGTCGGCTTTTCCCGTCGGCGGGTGACACTGCGCGGTTAGCACCCCGTCTCGACCGCATTGCGAGCAGAACTTCTTCGCGGGGCGTCGGCATTGCCGGCGCGTGTGCCCGCGTTGCTTGCAACGCCAGCAGCACTCGGCTTTATTGTAGGCGGCCGCCACGGCGGGTTTTGTTTCGGCCTTTTCCCTTTTGAGTGCCTCCTGTCGTTCGCTTACCAGGTCCTCGTGTTCGCGAGCGCGTGCTTGAAGCTCGGAAATATCGTTGATGTCGCGGCGCCGGATGTAAAATTTGTATTCTGGGTGCATGTGGTCGTATAAATACTCGAGCTGCATACCGGGTGAAAATCCGCCGGCCCGACGCATAAGCGTCATCATTACCGTCGAGTATTGCGCGAATGTCTCGTTAGCCTTCTGGTGACGATTTTCGATTTCGCGGCGGAGGGAGGCGTCGTACCGATGGGGCAGAAACTGCAACCGAAATGCTGCCTCAAATCCCTGCCAAGAGGCCCAGCTGGTCCGGTGATTTCGGTACCACAAAAGGGCGTCTCCCCTTAATATCTCCGATAATCCGCGCAGTAATTGATCCTCACCGATGTGGTAGTTCTCGCGGAATTCGGCAAGCCGCTCCAGAAAGGCGGCGGGATCACGTCCATCAAAGTGGAAACCACTCTTACGGAGTTGGTTTATTGCTCGGTAATCCGGCAACGGAGGGGTCGCGAAATCTCCGGGCGCATCGCGGTCCAAAGGCGAGGACCCCGTGATAACCACCTGCGGTAATGCCCCGGAGGGACCCGCTTGTTCGCGCGGATCAGTCGTGAATTCGTCCGCATGGGTGTCCGCGTACTCCCGCATACGTCGGCGGATGTCGTCGAGAGTGCCAGTGCTCTCTAACCCATAGCCCTCCGCTAGCACGGCCAGTTGCTCCTTCGGGAGCGCGTATAGCCACGACCTCATTATGCACGCTCACACCTTCGAGAAAACGCAGAACGAGAAACACTAATAAAAAAAAAAAACGTCCCTGTTCGGGCGCCAATGTAACGGTCGTATTTCCGGACGTTTTTCTTAGCGCGGATAGATCGCCGGTGCTAGGTGTCTTTAAATGAAATACGCGGTGTGTGTGGTATAATTGTGTTTATTGCGTTTGTATGAAAGTGTGTACAGAGTCGGAGTGTGTAAATGTGTAGACGAGTGTGTGAGCGCGGGCGTGGTTATAAAAGTTCGTATACAGGTTGCGTGGTTCGCGTAATTAAACCGAATATTAATGTGGATTAATTTCGGCCTCGCTGTCGCACGCCGGCGGGTGTTTACTATTGCGCGAGACGGCGCGCGTTTTTGCGGCGCTTTTTCGGCGGGGAATCCCGAGATTCCGAGAATGCTTCGGTTCTCGGAATCGACGATGATTTTCGCCGTACTATTTATTTCGCGATTTAAAGTCCGCGTGTAGATCGCCTATGCGCTTGAACGCGGCGGTGTTTATGCGTCTGTTTTTAGATGCGCGCACGTAATTGCATGTGATGCATGCAACGATGCTCGGTGCGTATAGCCCTGGTTTTTATTCGCGAAGGATGGATTGCGCGATGCAGCTGGATCGGTAACTCCCGATCCGGGGCGGCTCAAGCTCCACCTTCCGTGAGGGTTGCAGCTGCGGATTAGGCGGATTGCACTTTTGGCGTCAGAATCGAGAACTCTCGTTCGGAGACGGAGCACGCTCCACCTCTGTCTTCAGCTCTTTCTGTGCGTTTGGTAGGATTTCTCAAGGATTGCTCTTTGGAAGCGTACTGCTTCAAGCGGATCGGAGAGATGTGATTAGAGTCAAAAATGTGGCCCTTTTTATACGAGCTAATTGCCCGCGTCGGTGCGTGACGGTATAACCCCTTCCGAACGGGTTTTCGGAAAACGGTACGGTCGGGCCCGTTCGGAGGGATTCGGGTAGGAGCCGAACGCGGGCTTTCGCCGGTCGACGGTTCGGGCCACATCGACTCTGTTCGCGATGTTCGGCCGAATTTCGAATTTCGGCAGTTTTAAAAAGGTGGGCGCAACGCGCCCCTGCCTCTGCCCGGCGGGTGTTCTGCCGGGCGGCAGCTTCCGGCGGATGTCATGCCGGGAATCGTAACGATGCACCGGAATGCATCGTTACACATTTGATTTATTATATTATTAAAAGATTCTATGTAAATTTCAATTTACATAATTTAATCGATGTTTAATAATAAATAATTAATAAGTAATTAACTTTTAAAAAATTTTTGATAAAAAATATTAATTTTTATATAAGGTAAAATATTTGTTAATATTTCTTATTCAAAGGTCTTTGTAATATTACAATTTGTTATAATTTATTTAATATATGTACAAATTTTATATAAAAAAATTTATATATATATTTTTTTTCAGTTTTATAATTTTAGAAGATATACATTTGTAGTACAAAAATTTATATTTATATATTTGTATACTTATTATATTTTAATTTCGAAATGATTAAAGTATTGCAATAAAATTATATATTAAATTTTATAGAATAAACAAATTTAATTTTGATTTTATATATCAACAAATGTTTCATTTAAATATGTATAACGTGTGTAAAGCAAATATACATTTATATAATATGTAAATTATATTATATAAAATAAGTACATAAATACTATATTAAATAAAGAAAAGTATAATTGAAATCATTCACATGCTCTGATACAAATATATTTCAATTATTCAAATTGAAGTAATAGAGCGCTCTGTACATTTTGATTTACTTCACATTCTTCTCAATGGTTCAAATTAAAAACAAACCAGCTGAGTTTTTGACGTTATTTTTATGTCTTAATATTGAACTTATTTTTCGTTTGGTGTTCTGCAACTTTTTCATTATAATAAATTTCTAACACAATCTCATGTTTTGTACATCTCTATTATATATTATAATTTTATACGACAGTGTATTTATAGTTTTTTTTATTTTTGTGTCTATTGTGCTTACTCAATCATGCTAATAGATTTTTCATTATTATTATTATTATTATTATATTACACAATTATATATACAGCGTATATAATCAATATTTTTGTTGCATCATACCAAATCTAAAAGTAATTATAATACTTTTTTCAATTTTATTTATTAAGAAGATATAGAATAAAATCTAAATTTTTATCTCCTATTTATTCTAATGTCTTCTATTTATTGGAATGTACTATATAGTATGAGGAATTTATTAATTTATATAGTTTCTCAATGTTTATTATATACTTGAGTTATTAATTTGTAAAAAATTATATAATATGTGTTATAGCCTTGCAGACTATAACCTATTTAAATATTAGTACATATATATAATTAAATTAAGTGTCAGCATGAAATACTGTTGAGAAATGCGGCAGCCTGATAGAATCGCTGCCTCAGCAATCCAAGCGTAAGAACGTTCACCCGGAAGCGCGAAAACGCTAACGAAGGAATTCAACTTTGAACTTCCTTCATTAGCACTTGGACTTTGGACGACCCAGAAAAACCTCCATGACCATACATGGTCATGTCGCCGGGCGATCCCCTCCAAAAAATCCCCAAAATTAAGGGAATAAAAGCCGTCCACCGCGGATCCGCGGCGGACAGTCATAAACAGTGAATCTATAGTCAGAATAGTGCGCGAAGACTAACCGTTGATAAGACATAGTGCGAATCCGAGGGCTAGCCGCCAAACCGAGCTACGAAGCCCCGTAATAATAACTAATCACGAGAGGATCCAGGAAAGGACGACATTAAGGCCTAAGAAAACCGACTAAAAATAAGGGATAAATAAGTATATTCTGTTAAATAAATTTCTGTTGCTAAATAATTGGAGCGATCATTTTCCTCTCCCGGCTACCCCACACCCTGTGCCGCGCCGGGCACAACATTATTGGTGACAGCGGTGGGATATAGCCGAGATTAAGGACTGTCGAAAACTCCTTAACTCCTGCAACAGGAAAGAAAACACAGAATTAATAAATCAAATAAAGTCACTGCTAAACTAAAGCGGATAG